CTGCGTGATAAACTTAGGAATGAGGATATCCGCAGTAGAACCGGAGTGACCGACATAGCCCAACAGATTAGTAAGCTGAAGTGGCAGTGGGCCGGCCATATAGCTCGAAGAACCGACAACCGATGGGGAAGAAAGGTTCTCGAGTGGCAGCCTCGTACCGGTAGGCGAAGTGTAGGGCGTCCCCCCACGAGATGGAGTGACGACCTGGTAAGACATGCAGGAAGTCGATGGATGCAGGTGGCTCAGGACCGTGTTTTGTGGCATTCTTTGGGGGAGGCCTATGTTCAGCAGTGGACTTGTGAAGGGCTGTAATGATGATGATGATGACGAACCAGTTATTTGGGTTATTTAACCTGTAAATTCGGATTAAAGTGGCTACGTGGAGACAAGCACAGTGGCAAAATAGTAGGTTAAGTAGATAAGTTAAGTATTTAGACAAGTGTTGTAAATTATTAGGTATTGTGGTATGGCCCGCTAGTAGCGGGCCGCGCGATTTCGCGTTCGCGCTTACATTTACCTCTAGCCAGCTGATATCAATTCAGTAATTCCACTGCTGGTTTTATGTTTCAGTATTTACATGACTTTTTTTTATGAAATTATCGTTTCATTTAGCTGTACTAACATGATAGAGAATGAATAAAGCTAATAAATCGTTGTAAAAAGATGATTTTTCTTTTATCAGGATCGATTTTATATTCCACCTATCATCAAATGTATACTTGGTATTGTCGTCTGTCTTAGTTTTCGGGAGTTCGGTAGTTCTCTTTTTATATATATATTTACAATTGTTTTTTATTATTTTAGTTTAGTATTAACTTTTTATTACACCTACTTCATTCTATCTCTGCATCATCCCAAGGTAGACTGGTAGAGAATGCCTTAGGCATATATACCACATGTGTATATGACGTTTTAAATAAATAAATAAAGTAAGTCATTAATGTACCCAAGAAACAGAAAGGGGCCGAGAATTGAGCGTTGAGGCACGCCCATTTGTACCATCGACCCGGAAGAGCTCATACTGTTAATGACAACTTTTTGCGTTCTCTTACTTAAATATGAAATAATTAATGTAAGAGCATCACTTCTTACACCGCAGTGTTGAAGTTTCCTGATTAATGTTTCGTGGTGAACACACTCGAAGGCCTTGAATAGGTCACAAAATATACCCTAAGCATCCTGTGAATTCTCCCATGCATTAAACATTTATTTAATCAGCTCAACACCGGCATCAGTTGTCGAGCGACCCCTTGTGAAACCAAATTGATTTTTATGAAGTAAATTATTTATATTAAAGAAATTTAACATTTGATCAATAATAATTTTTTCAAAAATCTTACTAAGTGTTGGTAGTACAGAAATAGGTCTAAAATTGGCGAAGTCTAATGTACTACCAAATTTAAATAAAGGTATAACTTTATTATGCTTCATTAAATCAGCGAAACACACCAGATTCGATACTAGTATTAAAAATAATAGCTGAGGCGCGATTGTATCTACTATAGACGCAATAACTTTAACGGAAATCCGCCACAGATCCGCAGTTTACTTAACATCAATAGTTTTAAGATATTTTACAATATCTTTTGATGATACTTTATGAAATATAAAATTCTTTCTACACGCATTTAAATTTTGTTTAAGTAATGATTCGGCAAGTGTAGGAGAAGAATTCAGTGACTTAGTGTTTATCGGAATATCAGTAAAATATTTCTCAAAAACCATCTCACATTTTGGGGAAAAATGGCCGCTATTACAGGAACTAGAATATTATAAAAAAGTGCTTAGCTGTAAAAATGTTGTTGGTCGTCCTTCGGAAGTATGTGAGGGTGAAGATGATACCGAAGAAGTATTGAATATTGTATAAGTAAAATTTCCTTTTCTTGATTTTTTTTTTAATAAAAGTAGCACTTAAAATTTGTTAGAGAAGGTTAAATAAACCGTTTCATTTGTACTGTTGGCTTAATTCATTTCAGCAGACCTCGTATTTATAAAATCATTAGTTGCTTTGGTGACAACCCTTGTTTGTGATATTAACGAGTAGTTTTTATTAAATCTTATTAAATCCAGTTAAATTTTATCATTATATAAGTAAATCCATGCCTTGTTAGTTCAATAACGGGTAAATCCAGTCATGTTAAATCAAACGTAGATAAATCTTAACTAAAAACGCATTTTTATAATTTATACGACGTATTATTATTATTATTATGTTTAATTTGACTATTTAAAATGATTATAAATGATGGGCAGCATCTATGATAGAACATTACTTTCATTATGAAACTATGTATTTTGAACAAAATCTAATTTTCTGGAATAACTCAAAATCACTTTCAGTGGATTTACCTTTGTTTGACTTATATATTAATGTAAACTTAATAATCCGATTCGTTGCGGCACCGATTTTCGACAACTTTTAGCTGTGGCGGCGAACAAATATTTCATGACACGCCTATTGTGCCATCAGCCATGTGTAAAAATAATTTTCTTTTTTATGCTTTTTTACTTGTTTAGACCTAATTAAGTTTAGTTGACATCATACATCAGTTACAATTCTTTATTTATTACTTTTATTATTTTATTTATTACTTATTCTTATTTATTACTTTATTTTAGTTTACAGTTCTTCATCATATGTCCAGTATGAGTCGTGCACTTTTGGATTTACCAAACTTTATTTAATTAAGTTTGTAACTGATGTATGATGTCAACTAAACTTAATTAGGTCTAAACAAGTAAAAAAGCATAAAAAAGAAACTTATTTTTACACATGGCTGATGGCACAATAGGCGTGTCATGAAATATTTGTTCGCCGCCACAGCTGAAAGTTGTCGAAAATCGGTGCCGCAACGAATCGGATTATTAAGTTTACATTAATATTTAAGTCAAACAAAGGTAAATCCACTGAAAGTGATTTTGAGTTATTCTAGAAAATTAGATTTTGTTCAAAATACATAGTTTCATAATGAAAGTAATGTTCTATCATAGATGCTGCCCATCATTTATAATCATTTTAAATAGTCAAATTAAACATAATAATAATAATAATACGTCGTATAAATTATAAAAATGCGTTTTTAGTTAAGATTTATCTACGTTTGATTTAACATGACGTCGCTGTAGAATGATAACCTCGTATGTCCAGAGATCTAAACTTTACAGGAAACGAAAAAAATTGTTCATTTCGTCAATGTTTAAAATATTGTTATTAGCTTTTGTCTCATGTACTGAATGACAAATAGGACTTTTTTATATTACTAACCAATCTCTTAATTAACTGTGTTATACCAGTTAAATTGACATAAGAGGTTTTCTGTTTTAATATGTGCTAAGTTGCGAGGTTTTCAAAAGTAAAGACACTGCTGTAGACTAAAAATATAATGTTTTATTGGATACAATTTGGACAAGTTTTGGTAAAAAATCAGGATAGAAAGATTTTCTTTCACAGATATCAGTCGAACCGTAAGCTTAGATATCCTAAAATTCCTTTTAAACCTAATCATAACTCAACCGAAGTTCGTTTTCAAGCACATACCCAGAGTAAACAACAATACCTATAAGAAGGCAAAAACAAATTTAATTATAAATGCGGCAAGCTATCATAAAATGGATGTAAATCTCGAGGAATCACACGTTTTAATTCCTGAAGATGGTTGTATTTTACCGTAGTTATGGGTAACTTTGAATAATACAACTATTGAAAACAATCACTAGCATTTGTTTGATGTATTCTCCTTGGTAGTAATTGGTATTCTTTCGAATAACTTAGCTTGAACTTTATGGATCCTTCTGGTTCATATTTAAGGCAACGTATGTCAGTGACTTGTGGGTCACCAACCTTATTACCTGGTCTTATCGATGAAAAATACGGTTGAGAGCAGTATTTTTTGAAGGCTGTGTGGTCTAACTGGACGACATTGTAGGGACCAGGATTGTTACGGGCAGTTTTACAAGCTTCAACATACCGTGCTGGTGAATAAATCTCGCGATTTTTTATCTGCCTCTCAATTGTGGAATGCATCGCATCACATTCCATTTGGTTGTGACCCTTCTCAAGGTATTTTTGGACTTTGACCATACCTGTCTTAGCAGCTGCGAATAAAAGTGCATTGGAGAGAATAGAATTTCTATTTTGGTACGTGCACCCATCACTGTATATAATCACTTTGCGAATGATTGTCCTATCAACATAGTTAATTATAAAATCAACTATGATACTTGAAAACTCATCAGCTGTTAAACCGCATTCAGATTCATTCCAGAGGAAACAAAATCCTTCTTTGGTCTTCAAATTATTTATTGTAAAATTATGCACTTTGAGCTTCATCTTGTAATAAAGTGCTGAAGCTTTTAAATATGGACAAAGCAAGACAGCTTGCAAGTCCATAGTAAATACAGCAACAGAAGTATCATTTTCTGCTTTGTCATTCTCTTTCTGGCTTTGTGCTTCCGCTTTCCGAATTAAATGTAGTTGATAATCCGTATCACTAACACTTCCAACCTTATGACCACAGCAGGTGTCACACTGGTCCTTTTTTGGACGAAATAAGGACAAAGTTAGGCCCTCAAATACTTCCCAAAATGTATACCTTGAAGCACTGAGATGAGCTTTGTTGTGGTCTTTTGTATATTTTAAATATTCATTAAAAAATGCCGATTTGGATTGCCAATAGGGTTCTAAGTAGAGTTTTGTTGAACTTTTTCTGCAATAATGTGACTCAAGTTTCGGCAGGGAATGGAAGAACTCTCTCAATAACTCTTTTTTTAAATTATTTGCTTGCTCTCTGTTGTTGTTTCTGTCCGAAACGGGCACTGTATTTGTTGCAACAATGTTTTCAACCCAGTTGTGAACTGACCATTCACCGATATTTATTGTGTTTAAAAACATATTTTTACAGACTCTAAATGTTGCCCCTTTATCTTTAAAATTATATTTATACGAATAACTTCTACGAGAGTCAGAGGTTTCCGTTTTTTTTTTTGCATAGTACCGCTTTTTAGTACAAGTGAGTGACGAAACAACGTTTTGCTTCCCTATTCAGTAGCCAAAACTGCTTAAAAATCTGTAATCTTGAATCATCCGAGAGTTTATAGCATTCAAAAAATTTGGCATTTTTGTTATGTTCACACCGAGGTTTCATTTCTTTTGGCGCCTTTTGAACGTCGTACACAATTTTTCCCTCTTCGTTTTTTCTTCTTCCCAGATATCCCTCACCTTTCATTCGTTTGTTTTTTTGTTGCTCATACATCCATTGAGATTTATCACTTCGTCCTCGTTTAGCTCTTATTCGTTGTTGATTAGATATTTCCCACAAAATTTCAGGACTGTCATTTGGCTGAAAATTTGGATCTTGCACAGAGTCATCGCTGCTGAAATCGGTATTATCTTCAGCCTCTAAAACCTGCAAATTATCATTTCCAGTGTTCTCATTATTATTTATAGCAGAAGTAGACGGTGCCGATGGTGGAATTTTGGATAGTATGATTGTGGAATCATTTTCAGGATTGGAATTTGTTGTAGATGGAGGATTTTCCAGTGTCTGTTCTGAAGGCATTATTGCAGAAAATTCTGCAAGTCTATCAATATTTACATCTGATTGTAATAAAGACGGTAATTCCTCTAAGTCAGCAAGGGTGATTAAGTCTTCTGGTGGCGAATGGTTCTTTAGACATGCTGCCACTAATTTCCTACCTCTATTTAACATTTTGCCTGAAAAAAAATTAAAATTACTAACTTATATTTTAAAGAAAAGCTGCAAAACCAGTAACAATTATGGCATGAAAACCTCGTGTGTTGTTTGAATTTATAACTATACGAGGTTTTCACGTGAAACTTTTAACAAACGGCTGTCAAATCAATACTAACCTAGTATTTGCACTTTAGCAGCCGTTATTGAAAATAAACTAAGACATACCACTTTATTTTCACTATTGGCAGTGCATAGTTTGATTAATTAAAGCCGTTAAAATATTATGTGAAAACCTGGCATGTCACTTGAGTGGTTTGCTTTACCGTGGACATACGAGGTTTTCCTTGCAGTAATCGCGTCAAATAAACGAATGCATATTTATTGCTTAACTACAACTCCTTAGTTATAAAAATACAACCAGAGTGTACTTGGAAATATAAAAAATACAAATAAACTTACTTCACACCGATTTATCCACAATTTTTCACTAAAAATCTCAAAAATAGAGAGTAACGCCGAAACCATGCACTTTTTACGAGGTTTTCTCGCTTGTGAAGACAAGATGGCCGACGAGTAATAAATAAGAGGTTTTCGTTTAACTCCATAGATGGCACCAGTAGTCATACATTCGGTTCACGATTTTGCTGTATTTTAAAATACGTGGTTTTCATTCGATTTTTACAAAAATAAAAAAATATACTTTTTTGACATACGAGGTATTCATTCTACAGCGACGATGACTGGATTTACCCGTTATTGAACTAACAAGGTATGGATTTACTTATATAATGATAAAATTTAACTGGATTTAATAAGATTTAATAAAAACTACTCGTTAATATCACAAACAAGGGTTGTCACCAAAGCAACTAATGATTTTATAAATACGAGGTCTGCTGAAATGAATTAAGCCAACAGTACAAATGAAACGGTTTATTTAACCTTCTCTAACAAATTTTAAGTGCTACTTTTATTAAAAAAAAAATCAAGAAAAGGAAATTTTACTTAGACAATATTCAATACTTCTTCGGTATCATCTTCACCCTCACATACTTCCGAAGTACGACCAACAACATTTTTACAGCTAAGCACTTTTTTATTATATTCTAGTTCCTGTAATAGCGGCCATTTTTCCCCAAAATGTGAGATGGTTTTTGAGAAATATTTTACTGATATTCCGATATTAAACACTAAGTCACTGAATTCTTCTCCTGCACTCGCCGAATCATTATTTAATACGAAACACAGCAGCATTAAGCTGCTATTTTACGCTGGTATTCTGTGAGAGCGTGGTCCTTCCCCGGTCGAACCGACCCATTCGTGCTACAACTATACTATTAATATAGCTGCAGCTTGGTTCTACCACGTATAAAGTTAGTAGTTAGTTGATTTTAACTGCAGAGAAGTGTAAAACAGGGTGACGTTGTATCCCCGAAACTCTTCACCGCTGCATTGGAAGTCGCTTTCAAGCTTCTGGATTATAAAGGATACGGTATTAACATCAACGGCGAGTACATCACTTACCTTCGATTTGCCGACGATATTGTCCATATGGCAGAATCGCTGGAAGACGAAAGCACTATGTTCAACGACCTTAATAGTGCTTCCCAACGGATAGGTCTTTCGATGAACATGGACAAAACAAAGATCATGTATAACGCCCATGTCACAGCTATGCTGGTAGTTGTTGAAAGCACTAAACTCAAAGTTGTTGACGAGTATGTTTACCTGGGGCAAATAGTCCGACTAGGTAAGTCCAACTTCGACCGAGAGGTCAATCGACGGATTCAACTCGCTGGGCAGCGTTCGGGAAATTACGGCACATCTTCTCGTCAGGTATATCTCAAAACTTGAAAACGAGACTGTACAACCAGTGCGTGTTACCAGTGATGACCTATGGAACTGAAACGTGGTCCTTCACTGCTGGCCGGATGAAGAAGCTCAAGGTCGCTCAGCGAGCTATGGAGACTGGTATGCTCGGAGTTTCTCTGCGTGATAAACTTAGAAATGAGGATATCCGCTGTAGAACCAGAGTGACCGACATAGTCCAAAGGATAAGCTGAAGTGGCAATGGGCCGGTCATATAGCTCGAAGAACCGACAACCGATGGGGAAAAAAGTTCTTGAGGGGCGGCCTCGTACCGGCGAAGTGTAGGGCGTCCCTCCACTAGATGGAGCGACGACCTGGTGAGACATGCAGGAAGTCGATGGATTCGGTTGGCCGTGCTTTGTGGCATTTATAATATATATTAATGATCTTCCAAACGTCACTGACCACGAAACTCTTCTGCTTGCGGATGATACTACTGTAATTATTGAGTGTAAGGATAGAAAAAACTATGAAAATAAAATATCTATTACACTCGACAAAAGCTTTAGATGGCTCAAAGTAACAATTTAATAATTAAAAATTAAAAATTTTGTATAGCCAACTTCAATATAAGTTATTAAGAATAACTCAAAAACTATCGGTCTGACCTTGATCAAATTTATATGGGACTACACGAGAAATACCAGCTTTCAAACAAAAAAGAATCCCCGAAATCGGTTCACCCAGTAAAAAGTTATGAGGTAACACAGTATTAATATGTATGTATGTATTTATCTTATCTTTGTACTTATGTATGTTTAAAGGCCAATATGTTTATGAGGCTTTATCATGCTTCATGTTTATATTCTTTCATCTCTCCCTGAAAAGTATAAATTAGTAATAAACCTGTTATCATTTTAGCTGCATGAACTTTAAAAACATCATGATCTTAACAGAGTAAAGGTGTACCAAGTGTCTAAGGACAGATGCACTCTCTATTCTCTCAATCTCGGTATGTTAATAAAATGGTAGCTCATTCATGGACTGACCGCGGCAAATGCAACTTATCTCGCAGATCTATTGATCCGCTATTACTTAACCACGAGTTCCCCTTCTCTACGACTAACTCGGCGATGAACCACGCTACTTAAGCCCTCAGCACAAAGTCACCGGCTATAAAGCATTGTGGCGGCGCTGTCGTCGCACCACAAGCGAAACATATCGAAGCCTAAATCACGCTAACAAAGTTCCGATGTTAAAGCAGTATATATAGAATAGCTTCGAACTACCATTCGGAGCATTGGCCGCTCCCTAGGCAGAACACCTTGCCCGGCGGGAGATCTCCCCTTTTCCTTCCACCTGCCATAGACAGAATAATTGTTTTTTGAGGACTTGTGGATGGAATATACATAGGAGAAGGAGTTGAATGATGATTGGCCGATGTAGAGAGACAGAATACCTGGGGTTGATTGGGAAATTTTGAGGACTTTCTTTGTAACTTCTAGCTATACATAGGAGAATAATTTCACTGGGCTCTGTGGGAGTTTTGTTTCTGAACGTCTCTTTTCCCCGCCATCGTCCTCACAATTGCTTTTATTCCTCACAGCCTCAATAAGCTTGTTATCGAGAACCTTTTTTGTCTAAACAGTGGTAGAGCCACGCGGCAGCTTTTGCTGTCGCACGGATTGGCCGGCTCGAACCGGGGTGGTACCACGACCTCACAGAATACCAGCGTGAAGTAGAGTGAGTGCAGGTGGCCAGAGACCCTTTTTACTGGAAATAAGGCATTCCATCCTAGTCCTTACGGGTGAAAACGCATCGGCATTTTGATTTGTAATAGAGGATAGATGTAGATGTCTATGGGTCGCAGCAACCACTTACCATCAGGTGGACTGTGTGCTCGTTTGTCACCATTATTCTATAAAAAAAAAATTCTAGAAGCCTTTCTTCATAGGGTATTGTATTCGTACTTTTCTTTCGGGAATATTGACTTCGCTGTGGTACATCTTCATCATCATCCCTACTATCTTCTTCGCAATCAATGTCCTCTGCCTTTCCTATGGTCTCTCGAATGTCCATGCTTGGGACAAGGAATAAATGTTGGTCAAAATGTTTGTACTTTCTTCTTTTTTTAGCAGCCTAAACAAACTTAGTGGATTTTTGCTCGCGTAGCTCACGTGAAAAACAAGCTCTTAAAAATTTCCACCTTTTCGATACAAGTTTATATGTAAATAAATATTTAAATAATATAAAAACAATCATTTAATTTGGAAATAGAAGTTTGTGGAGCGACGACCCGGTGAGACATGCAGAAAGTCGATGGATTCGGTTGGCCGTGCTTTGTGGCATTCCTAATATATATTAATGATCTTCCAAACGTCACTGACCACGAAACTGTTCTGCTTGCAGATGATACTACTGTAATTATTGAGTGTAAGGATAGAAAAAACTATGAAAATGAAATATCTATTAAACTTGACAAAAGTTAAGTGTTGGTTAATTATTTAAGATTACCATTAACTGTCGCGCATATTTTGTTTTGTCGTAAATTTTAATTTTCCCCATCTGTAAAGTTTTCCTCATTTCTAAGTTTATCACGCAGAGAAACTCCGAGCATACCCGTCTCCATAGCTCGCTGAGCGACCTTGAGCTTCTTCATCCGGCCAGCAGTGAAGGACCACGTTTCAGTTTTGTTTATATAATCTAACACATTCAATCTTTCAAAAGTTGCTAGAGACTGTGGCCGTGGACGCGGAGATGGCCGTTGTGATCGGGAAGAAAATAACATAGTTAAAAGTTTGGTATCGAAAGAAATTCAGGCCGTACCCGCTTCTTACCATTTCAATCCGGAGTTCCCTGTTTTTAAGTCACTAAAGCAGAAAATAAGGAACAATGATCTTATTGTTACTAAAGCTGACAAGGGCAATACTGTTGTTATTATGGATAATAGCGGGTATAGCCAGAAGGTTAACAATGTTATCCAAGGTGATGACTTTGAGCTTTTGGAGTCTGACCCTACCAAAAAGTTTACTTTGGATAGTAAAGTACGTATATAGGTTATATACAACAGTCATCAAATGTTTTTCCCGACCATAACATGTCTCGCAGCAGCTATGTTCCAATGAATCTTAAAGCACCCATTTTATATGGGTTACCTAAAATACATAAAGAACAGGTTCCTATTCGTTCAGATGTATGATATATAGGAGCACCAGCTTATTTCCTTGCTAAAAAGTTAAACTTCCTTCTGCGGAAGAAATCTGGATTCAATCCAACTTACAGCCTTAAAAATAGTTTAGATCTCATTTCCAAGATTAAAGATATTCGTGTTCCATCTAAATCCATGTTGTTATCTTTAGACGTTGATAGTCTTTTCACAAATGTCCCATCCCCAGACTGTATGCGTATACTCGCAGATATCTTTAAAAAAATAAACGATCTTCTAAACTTAACCTCTCTCTGTATGAAACAAAACTATTTCCGGTTTAATAACCACTTCTATCTACAAAAAGAAGGGCTAGCCATGGGTCCCCTCTAAGACCTCTTGTGGCGGACATATTTATGAATAATTTTGAAAAACAACACATAGTTGTCAATCTAAATATCTTATAGGTACTATTATCGATATGTAGACGACAATTATTTGCTGGACTGGCACAAAGAGACAACTGGATGTTTTCCTTAATAAAATTAATAAAATCCACGACAAAATTAAATTTAAGCTTGAATTGGAACAAGATTGTGTCCTTAATATCCTCGACTTAACAATAACAAAAAAAGAGTCGTTACATGAATTTCAAATTTATCGAAAGCCGTGGCAACATAAATTAGCCGCTATTTATGTTATTTTACTGGAAAAGAGGCATTCCATCTTAGTACTCACGGGTGACAACACATCTGCATTTTGATTCGCAAACGAGGATAGATGTAGATGTCTATGGGCCACAGCAACCACTTACCATCAGGTGGACTGTGTGCTCGCTTGTCACCCTATCCTATTAAAAAAAACTTGACCGGCGGCAGATTGCTGCTCCTTTGTTATTGTTGAAATAATGGGTTTGATGTAGATTTTGATATATAAAAGTGGTGCGATTTTGTGTATTAAGTGTCTGCACATGTGAACTATTAGTGGAAACGGTGAAACCAGTGCTCTGATGGTGATGTGATTCTCAAGATAAGGTGTCTGTCTGCTTAGGCGCCTTGAAATGATACCATCGTAAGCCGTCAGCTATCTGCTGGCTCAAGTTGCCGTCAAAATCTGCCAAGGGGTGAACAATGTGACGTATCAACATATTGTGAAGCAGTGTACTTATTATCAAGGATAAAAATACATTGTAACTTGAAGCTCAGAAAGGCTAGAACCCAGAGCCGTAAAGCCAGTTATAAAAAAATATAGAGATGAGTCGTACTGGGTAAATTATGTACTAGGTGCACTTAGTGACTTAGTCCCATTCCGTACAAATACTCGATCCAAATACCTGTTCCACCTAGTCCATGAAGTACGCATAGACTTTGGTATTGTTGGAATAGTATACACTTTAAAGTACGCTTAGTCTTTACGTGCAGCCGATTCCGATACGTGAAGGTAATGAATAGTAATCAATCGTCCATTCATATAGTGCCACCAACTTATCTGTTCAGTTGACAGCGTCGCTAGTGGAGCACTTACTATTGCCATTTAAGAAATTCACCGACGAAATAGTTCCCACTATGTTATTCGACAGCCAAATTGCAACCTTAAAATGTAAGACGATAAAATTTACTGCATTATATTAATGAATTAATAAATAATAAAAAAAAATATTTCTGCTTAATTTTTGTGATTTGGATAGACTACATATTACACATAATATAAAATACAACAAATTTGCTTGTTAATATATTAAAATTAGTGAGAATTAGTGTTCTTATATATATTATTTATATTTTATAAAAGTAATTGTGGTCATGATCTCGGAGTTCAAGCGGCTGAACTCCAGGAATTTGTGTTTTGAAAGATGTAACCGCGCTAGCTACTGGTTCCAATAATTCATCTTCTGAGTCACTGAAGTGGCTTTCGATATCACTCTGACACTCTATAATAAAGGGTTCATCTAAATACGCGTATTTTAGTCTGTATTCATTTTCAAGTTTTTTATATGATTACAAATGTTTTTTCACTACACTGGTGTAATTTTATGGAATGCATCTTCAATTAATTGGGGCGTTGGAACATAAGATTTACAAACAGTTTTACAGTAGATTGAAATAATTTTTTACTTTGTTTCACAAGTACATTATTTGGTGATTTTAATTTTCCATATCTGGCAATACAAACCTGTTGCGGCAGCAACGCGTTCATACAGCTTTTCAAATTGTATAGTTGGGGCTTGTACACGTTTCTCGCCTTTCATAAAAGATAAAACTTTCAGGATAATCTGTCACGCATCACTTTTAAGATCTTTAGGCATTTTATTTGCACTTTTTAAAAACACTCACCTGATAGCTCGGAATAAATAATAACTGACAGCGAAATGTCATTTACAAAATGGCAGCTTTAGTTCCAATTTTGTCCACCTGAACAGATAAGTTGGAGGCACTATACTTTACACAGCCTTATGACTGGTCAACGTTAAGACTTATCTACATTCTAGATTGTTGGCGTATTTAAAAGATTTCAATTCATTTTTTATTTAAGAGTAATCCGATTTTTGTCTTTTTGTAGTTAATTTTTTTAATTAATTTAGGTTCGTTTTTTTAATTACCTATCTCCAACTATTGTTTTTACATACGCACCAAGAATCAGTTTTATGAGTTTGTAAAACTAAAATATATTTTACAAATGTTACACTCAGACATTTGTTGGCATTTGTCCGTAAAATGGTCCCGAGCGACATTACTGCAATTTTTTTTAAACAATAAACACTTTAATGTCTAATAAAAAAGTGGATGTTCTTTAACCACATAACAAAACTTCGTTACGAAAACCTATTACTAAATAATTCGAGTACGTATCATTCAATACGGTGCCGAGATCACATTCGCATGAGTCCGTACTAGACAGTAGACACTCAACTGAAACATATGGTCTCCATTCACATCGAGTATTTACTAGTACCTAGTCTATAAAATCTGCCTAGTATTTGGTTGAAGTCCCCGGGACTAGTCGCGACTAGTCTCGAGTATTGACAGACAAAGATAGAAAGACTGCGGAATAGTGTAGTTAAAAGAGGACAGAATATATTCTTGCATAACACGAGTAGGTGTCGTGTTATTTTTATACACATTGAAATAATAATATAATAATAAATCCTCTATTTGGACCAACAATAGTCATAGATTGTTAGTAAAACTTACTTAGCCTAATGTTAGTATAAAATATAATAGAAGTTAATATTAAAATGTTAGTCGCAATAGTACTTATCCTATATTAGTAACTTAACCTACCCCCAGCCTCAAATAGCGAACTCCAGGTGGGATTCTCCTGGTACTGGTGTGTGCACCATTCCAAGCCCTCCAGAGCGGGCTATCCAGCTTCACAACCAATGTGCTGAGGAGGGTGTTGGAGCTCCTCAATAGCCTGCTCATCATGGACGCGGCACGCTTGCGCATGATGGCGAGAAGTCGTCCACACGAGCATCCGCAAACATAGCCGACGCACTGCAGTGTCAAGGCCTCCTCAACATCACCCTCAGCTCATTGTTGTACTGAACACGCCGAGCACTGTAGGCTCGCTGCGTATAGTCAGTCCACAGACTGCACGTGTAAAAGATTGGCAATACGCCTTAAACAACGTTAACTTGACTTGAGTCGTACTGCGTGTAAATCTGCGAGCCAACATATTGCCCCGGACCGACAGCGCTCGGCGCTCTCGTTCAATGTCACTGTCATCATCCAGGCGCTCAGTTACAATATGTCCGAGGTACCTAAACTCAGCCACTTGTCTCAGAGGAATCCCACATAGCTGGATACATGGCGTGAAATTAAGTGGTTTGTTTTTACCTCTGAAGACAATAAATTCACTCTTTTTTGAGTCCTTGAAGCATGCTTCACAAATTTTCAACAGTTTTCGAAGCCCGCTGACTGAGGGGCACAACAGA